CTTTGAGTGTTGAACTGGATCCTTAGAAATACATATAACACTGGTATTATCATAATAAATAGGAACACATTAAAAAATAATTCCAAAATCTCTAACCTGTTGCTTTATCTATAAAATTTGTGAACAATGCAACATGCTGCTGCTACATACTCAGCTTCAGCTGTAGATAATATAGCTGTGTTTTGCTTCTTGGAACCCCAAGAAATTAAATAAGGTCCTAAAAACTGTAACATACTTGAAGTAATCTTTCTATTAACCAAATCACCTGCATAATCAACATCAGTAAATCCATTTAAATCAAATGAATCACTTCTAGGATAGAAAAGATTCAAGTCATCAGTTCCTTTCAAATATCGAAGGATTCTCTTTACTGCTATCAAGTGGGACTCCTTTGGATTTGCTTGGAACCTGGCACATAGACCTACACTAAAAGATATGTTAGGTCTACTAGGTGTTAAGTAAAGTAGAGAGCCAATCATACCTCGATACATAGTTTGATCTATGCAAGTTCAATATGGATCTTCATCTAGCTTGGTTACAACACCCATAAGAGTTCTATTGGTTTTAGCATTATCTAGCTTGAATTTCTTGAAGAGTTCCTTGATATATTTTTGTTGATGGAACATGATTCCTTCTTCAGTTTGCTTGATTTGCAAACCGAGGAAGAAGTTTAACTCACCCATCATACTCATTTCAAATTCTCTATTCATTAGGTCAGCAAAATACTTACACAAAGTTTCGTTAGTTGCACCAAACAAAATATCATCAACATAGATCTGTACAACTAAGATATCAGTTTCATTTGATTTCAAAAAACAACGTTTTGTCAATTTTACCACGTTTAAACTCATTTTTCAAAAGGAACTTTGATAACCTTTCCTATCATGCTCTAGGAACTTGCTTCAACCCATAAAGGGCCTTGTCAAGCTTGTAGACATGATTTGGGAACTCTAGATTTTCAAATCCAGGAGGTTGTTCCACATAGACTCCCTTTGTCACCTCTAATTTTTTTTTACCTTGGCTCGCCCAATGATCACCTCTATCTTTGTCAAACACAAATATTTTCTTTTGTGGAACATAGGTTTCCTTTTCAAACACATTCAACCTTTTGAGTAACTATCAAAAATAACATATACTTTAATGTAGTATCATGTTGGTTTTGTAAGGACTTAATGTGTTTTGTAATGCTATATTTTTTGTCAAACATAAACATATTCATTTGTAAAACACCAATATGTGCTTTTTAAAGCACTAATATATTCTTTTTCATACACTAGTATGTTCTTTTTTGCACCCATGTTCTTAGAAACTCGCCGCTCATGTTCTTTAGAATATGTCAAATGTTCTTTCCGGATTCATGATACAATCGGGTGTACTATACTATTTTAAGTGATTTATATGTATTTTTTTTTTGAGAAAAAGCTAGAAGTTCCTATTTTTTTTGGCAAACAAACCGAACTAGATTAATTAAGCATCATAAAGTTAATGGCCAAGGCCATGTTACAAAAGCAACCCCCCATAACTAAGGTAGTTGATGCTGTAGTGGGATGGCCTCCCCTACAAGTAGTTGTTCAGAAGTTAACAAGCTAGAAGTTTCATTAATCAAGTTTTTGACAAATTGTCCATAAGTACATAAGGTGCAATTTCGGGAGGACAATGATTCCCATAAGTACTTGCTCAATTCCGAACGGAACTAACCTAGCTAAATGATGGGCAACAACATTCCCATCTGTACGAACATGTAACCAAGAGACATAATCAAAATGCTTAGAGGAAAACATAATGTCATCCAAAACAGTATCAAGATCCGAAAGAAAAATAACAGACTTAGAGAGTCGATTAATGACTATTTGACTATCCGATTCCACCACCAAATTCTTACCCCATACTTGTGAGCTAACTTGAGGCCAAAAAGAATTGCTCTGCCTTCAGCAACCTCAGGGGGCCAGCCACCTGTAGCTCTGCGAACACTTGCAAACATCACTTCACCATTGGCATTTCTTGCCACGGCTCCTAATCCAATCCACCCCTGTTCTCGTAAACTTGTATCACCATTGACCTTGATGAAGCCATCAGGTGGGGGGCTCCAGATTTTCGGACTGCTTCTCCTTCTAACCCCCACTCCACCATATATCTTCTTGATGTACTTGAGACAATCATCTATGATTTTCTGAATACGTTCTTTGATTATCAAGTGTGGCACCTCCTTAGCATTGAAAATTTTATCGTTGTGCCTACTCCATATAAACCACAACAATGCAGCACCTCTCAAGCACTTCTTTGGATCAATTTCCTGCCAACGCACAAGAATCTCTTTGAAGTCTTCATTCGGGTCAGGAGGGACAAGCACTTCACGTACAATCAATTTTCCTCCACAGATCTTTCACGGCATGACAAGAGAAGAAAGCATGGTGCATTGATTCACACATCGATGGACACCATGGGCACGAGTTTTGCTCTGCCATATGTCTATAGTGAAGGAGCTCTTTCGTGGGGAGGGATTTGGTGCACGCTCTCCATAGAAACTGTTTGATTTTGGGGATGGTTTTGAGATTCCAAATCAGAACCCAAGCCTCGTGGTAGTCGTCAAGGTTGCAGGACTTACCAAGAAGGTAAGCTGTTTTGACAAAGTATAACCCGTCATTAGAAAAAGCCCAGGTTAGCTGATCCTTTTGACCGTGGAGACTGATAGGGATGCGCATAATACACTCCATATCCATGGCTTCAAAATTTGCTGCTAAGACCTCATAATTCCAATTCCCATTCGATCTCCTCATCAATGAGGTCACTGACATAAGAAAGATTGTCAACTCTAGGGGATGTGATAAATTTCCCATGTGCATCCGCCACCCAAGGAGCCGAATATATGTCAATTGATTTCCCATTACCCACCCTCCATATAAGGCCCTCTTTCACAAGTGCCTTAGCACTCAGATACTACGCCATAAATAGCTTCCATTCAAACCAAGAGAGGCCTCAAGAAAATCGCAATGAGGGTAATATTTACCTTTCATAACTCGGCTAAGAAAAGAGTCTGGGGCTGATATGAGTCTCCATGCTTGTTTACCAAGCAATGCATCGTTAAAAACTGCCATATCTCGGAAACCAAGCCCTCCGAGGCACTTTGGTTTGCACAATCGATCCCAACTTAGCCAATGAACTTTGCGTCGATTTTCTGTATGACCCCACCAAAATTTTGCAACCATGGACTTGATTTCTTCAATTACACTTGAGGGAATTTTGTAGACTCCCATAAGGTAAGTGGGGATGGCCTGTATGACTGATTTGACAAGGACTTCTTTAGCTGCACGTGACATCAATTTCTCCTTCCACCCGTTCAGATTCTTCCAAATCCTGTCTTTCAAAGCAGCAAAAATCATTCTTTTCGATCTCCCCAAAATGGTAGGAATTCCCAGATACTTCTCATGTTCAGACACTAATCTCATTCCCAGAAATTGTCTCAACTCTTCTTGTTTCAACTCACACACACCTTTGCTAAAAGAGACCTCTAAAATTAGTTATACAAGAGAATTCCTGTTCGAAACATATGACAATCAAGTGTGAGATGTGTCCATACCATATGTTACCCACAAAGTTTCATACTTCCTTGGTTGTAATATATTTGCAACTAAATTATATTTTATATATTAAATATCTATAATTATATAAGAGTAAACATTATAAAAAGTTGATATTGTGAAACTATTTTATGAGACGGATATAATAAGATCCCTTATAACTGTATTTTACTTAATATATAAAACGTAATATATGATCGAATAAGAGTGATGATTAGTGCAATAGTCCCATTGTTATAATATTATTGGAATGGAGGAAGCATGTGGCTGGCCACACTATGTGGCCAGAGTTAGTTATTCAAGATTACTCGATCGGTCAAAGATTTAGTTTTTCAGGCTTACTTGATCGGACAAAGATTACCCGGTCAATAAAGGGTTATTTGATCAGGGGCTATTCGACTAGGGCTAGGGTTACTCGATCAGTTAAAAGTTACTTGATTGGTCAGGGAGTACGCGATCAGTCAGCCATACATAAAGCGTGTTGTATGGTCCAATGAATTAATTCGTTACATCCAAGAATATTATCTTATTAAAAATCTCCCTTATCGGATTACATTTTGGTGGAAGACGATCAATTTGAACCTCTTAAAGTCGCCTTATTAATTTGATTCATGCATAAGGTCATGAAGTACTCCGTATAAGAGATATTAGACGCATACGTATGACTTAAATTTCATGTCAGAAATACATTTATACCAAAATCTTGTATGGTAGTACACGTGTCATTAACTCTTTCAAAAAAAAAAAGAAAAAGAAAAAAAGTACAAGTGTCACTAACAAAACTTAATTATTTTTAACCATAAGATAGTATGTGAGTCCAGATTCACAATAAGATGAAAATAAGTTATTAGACATTTAAAAAAAAAAAATTAAATATCTCGACTTTGAAATTTGAATACTATCTCCGGTTGTATTATACGCAACTTTGGAATTTTTTATATTTCACAAACACTAAAATTGCATATAATACGAACTGGAATTAGTATATATTTTTGGACATTTTAAATAACTTGTTGGAATTGCCTAAAAAAAAAACTAAAAACTTATCCATACAAACTATTGGACATATTTATCCATTTTTGGGTAGATAGATTTATGGTTAACTGGACACATCTAATTTGCAAGTAGTCACTAAACGTGTTACACACAATCCAATCATTGCATATATACAATATACTTCCTCCGTTTTATTAATATTGCACTTTTTGCACTATTCATCACTTTTATTTGACCATATAATATGAGTTATACGTTAAGCAAAATATAGTCAAGTAGGATATTGTTAGATTCGTCTCATAAAATACTTTCACAATATCAACTTTTTATAATTTTTACTCTTACACAATTATAGATATTTAGTAAATAAAATGTGTTTTGAGATGCGTAATTTACTCCTTGTTGCAATATTAATAAAACGGAGGAAGTAGTAGAAGTACTTTACGTAAGTTATATGAGTTTAATTATGACAAAATTTATAAGAGGAAGATAAACCTTAGCTAAGCACCAACATGCATGTGGGATAAATATGATTCACAAACTTAGTCAATTCTAAAATATCAATCAATTAAGTTAATAAAAATAAAACTAACAAAATTCACTAACTTCTTATCTATATTTTCCCTCCTATAAATAAGGCTATGAAATGCATGGGAAATTTCTCCAAGATAAAAATAATAATTAGAGTTTAAAAGTGAGAAAATAATAATATGTTGATCTTTAAAAAATTCTCTTTATTCTTAGTTGTTATATCTTTGGTGGTAGGAGTATCAAAGTGTCTTCATAGCTCAGTTCCAGTTGTGCCTGGTTTATCATACTCATATTATCAAAATAGTTGCCCTGATTTGGAATACATTATTAGGGATCATCTTTGGGAGGTTTTTAATCGTGATATAACGCAAGCAGCTGCTTTACTCCGTCCTCATTTCCATGATTGCTTTGTTCAGGTATTATTATGATATTATTAAGAATTTTATTTTAAGCGGATTTAAAAATAAAACATTGTTAGGGGTGTCAATCGGGTTTTCGGTTCAGTTTTGGGTTCGGTTTATCAATTTTCGGTTTGTAACAGGTCGGTTTTTAACGGGTTGGAATTGTTAACGAGTCAGTTCGGGTCGGTTTTAAATAATTTCGGTTCGGTTCAGTTTGGTTTATTTTTGTTACAGTTTCTTTTTGGGTCGGATTCTAATCGGGTCGGGTTCTAATTGGTTCGGGTCATAATCAGTTCGGGTTAAATTTGGTCGGTTTAAAAACGGGGTTTGTCAGTTTAAAGCGGGTTTTGGGTCAACACATACATATCGGGTCCTAATCGGATCGGGTTGTAATCGGTTTGGGTTGTAATCAGTTCGAGTTGAACTTATTCGGTTTGACAACTAGTTTTTCCATTTTTAAATGGGTTTCGTTAACGTATATCGTCTAGTATATCCTCAATATTCTTTAATAGTTATTCAGTAGATCATACAGAGTATTAATTAGTTGTTTAACTTTATGTCCCTTTTTGTATAATGATTTTAAGGATAAAATAATAATAACAAACCTAGAGTTAGGTTTTGATTTAGATTTTTAATTTTTTTTTATACAATATATATAGTGTTCAATAAGCCATTACTCGTTAGAGGACGATAATATTGTAGCATAAGAGTTTTAATGACATCAAAATTCCAAACCTTTTCAATATGCATACTTTATAATTCAAATTAAACCCTTTTGTTTTACTATTGATAAAATATACCCAAAAAAAAAGAAAAAAAATTATACGGTCATAACGGGTTACGGACTTACGGATTATAAACGGTTCGGTTATAACCGATTATGGCTTGTAAACGGTTCGATCATAACTTATTACGGGTTATAAATGGTTCAATCCTAACCAGTTACAGGTTGTAAACGATTTGGGTTTATCGGGTTGGGTCGGGTTGCTATCGGGTTCAAAAGTACTCGGTTCGGGTTGTTCTCGATTTCGGGTTGTATCAGTTCGGCTTGATATTGGGTACAGTTCATTAACGATTTTCAAACATTCGGATCGATTCAGTTTCAGGTTTTAAAAAATCGGGTCAGGTCGGTTTACGGTTTTTAAATAAAAGGTTCTTAGCGGTTCGGTTCCTTTTTGAAACAATTCAAAACGGTTCGGATTCACCAGTTCGGGTCGATTTTTTGATAGCTCTAAACACTGTGTATCAACATATATATATATATTTGTTGAAACATCTGAGCATCAATATATTTAATTATGCACCTTTAAAAATTATACACTTTTGATATTATAAAGATACACATTGAGATGTATCTAAAAATACTGCATGACTATGCTATTTGTATATATTAATGAGAATTTTTAATCAAAGTTTTTTATAAATTAATCATGTAAATAAAAAGAAGTAAGAACAGTGATGTGCTTGTTTTCCATGGGGGAATGAATTAACAAACTAAAAACGCATTAGACTATCTGTCAAAAAAATAAAAATAAAAAAACATTAGACTAGATAAACTCAAGAGTTCTCTACTTCTCTAGGCTAAAGAGGGAAAAATTTAAGTTCGTTTATTTTTAGGAATAATCTATATCTCTATATCTATATCTATACTTAGTTGGTATTTAAAAACACAAACCACAAATTTTTCATATGACACATGGCATCACAATTCACAAGTCACTCATCACCCATATGCCACATGTCACCCCCCTTAATATTTTATGTTTTAGTCTTTATGTATTTTATAACTTGCAAATTCAAGTAAGAAAATGAAGTGTTTCATTTCCACCATAATAAAATAATGTTCAATTAATTAGTATACATTACATAACATATGAATTATTATAAAAATATCTTTTCATCTACTAGACTTTAAATATAATTTAAACTAATATGTCATTTCATATACCACATTCTTCATGTATATACATCTAACTAAATTCCTTTATGTTCTTTCAAAGTTCTACCATCACTCTTTTTTTTCTTTTAAGTTTTAGAAATGAAACAATTACTTTGTAGAAAAGCATACCTACATATGAATATAATTAACCCAAGTAACAACTCGTGCATTGAACGGGCCAAAAAACTAGTTTTAGTTAATTAAGGGTGGATTGTATTAACATAATTTTGTACTTTTAACTATTGTACTAATAACATTGGATTAAATCTAATTAAATAAATTGAATTTCACTTTATGTTTAAACGTGACTACAAGAAAAGAGCCCATTAACGACGGATATTGTCATTGTAAACCTGTCATAAATATCATTTATGGTAGGATTAATTTTTATCGTGAGCCCGTCCTGAAAGGCGGCCGTCTAGATTACTTTTTTGTCGCAAAAATTACGACAAGAAAAAAATCCGGCTGCAAAAGCCAATCATAGGTAGATTGTTTGTTTGAGATTCTAGTTGAATCATAATAGAGTTGGGAAGGGTCGTTTGTATGAAACTAGGTATGTGTTATGATGGGCTAAAAGATTGTCATTAAAAGTTTTATATTAGGGATAGGATTTGTCTCCGCCATTAATGGGTTCAGGGCCTCAGCAATGATTTTAGGGGCCCTGTTCCAAATCGAAAAAGGGGGCTTTAATAATATGAAAATTATACAATTTTTTTTATCTATAATTTTGGCAATGCACAATTTTCCTATACATACATTGCAAAATGAAAATGCTTTCATATAACAATGACACATTCAATTACGCAAAATTAAATTTGAATATTTTATTCATGTTGATAATAGTAACTAAATACAACTCAAGGCTCATATTAACTTAAGCTAGATTAACTTCTATTTGTTTAAAAAGTGATATTCTTTTAACGCTCTTTGAGGCAAAATCATCAATCAAGTCTTCATATTCCACTTTCTCTAGAAGTTCATTATCAATTGCTATCATCGCCAATACATTAACAAAGATATGACTTCAATAGCTTTTAACTTGGAAAAACTCCTTTTTACAGTTGCAACTGTCAACTAAATGCTACATGCAATAATTAGCATTAGGAAAATAGCCCACATCATTCAAAAACCTCAAAATATAGGTCCTTTTATCTCATCATGCAAAATTTCTTTAAGCAACTTTAACTCCGCAAATAATTCATTCCCATTAATATCTGATTGTTCATTAGACATAAGTGCATTTTCAAATTTCAAACAAGAGCAGTTCAAACTTAATTCATCCAATGACTAGATTTTGATAGTGTGATAGGCTAGCTGCATCAACCTTGGTTAGGCATGATTAGCCTTAAAACCTTTTATTTTATTTTATTTATTTATTTATTTTAATGTGAAGCTAAGTAAATTTAATAATATTAAAATGCATGCTTTATATCATCGTTTTGATGTATTAAATTATGATAGAGTATATAATATATTTCTGGGCCTCAACCATTAGCTTAAATTTTTGGTTGAGTTGGTCCATGGTATCGGAGCCAGCGTGACTCAAAGGTCACGGGTTCGAATCTCATCCACCCCCACTTTCAAGTGGAATATTAAGCGCTGGGTATGAGGAGGGCCCATGCTGCAACCACACTTCTAGCCCAAACGGGCTCTCGTGTGAGGGGGAGTTATAGAGTATAAAACATATTTCTGGGCCACAACCATCAGTTTAAGCTTTTGGTTGAGTTGGTCCTTTAACAAATTATAATGTTAAACTACCTCCGTTTCATATGCATTTTCTCGTCACAAACCAATTAAGAAATTAGAACTCAAAAATAAAAAACACATTTTTGGCATATAAAATAAAAAACACACCTCCAAATTTGACGCTAAGACTTGAGGCATTTAGACTCATAAATGAACTTCGTGCTCATGTGCATTACTATTGTGGACGAGTGGTATCTTGTGCTGATATCCTTACCTTTGCAGCTCGTGAGTCTGTTTATCAGGTATTAATATTTTCTACTCCTTTTAAACTAACCATGTCAATTGCAAATTAGTTTATAAATATTTATATTCTAGGTTTGCCATTTCATAATTAGACCACTAGTTTTGTCAATTTTGTATCTATTAATAATTAATATAAAATACATATTGACAAAAATCCTCTAATATTTTTGTAGTACTTATGTATGTGAATAATGAAATAATGAAGTGAAATAACTAATATTTGTAAAGTATAATTACTGTTTATTTCCCTTAATTCTATTCATACTTATATTTTCTTTTAGAAAGAAAGCTACTAATTCGAATTGGAAAAATGGAAAATAAAAATCCAACCTTTTGGAGGTCTGACAATAAAAATCCAACCTTCGTTTAATCTCACAAAAATCCAACCTTTATACCCCACCTTCTTTGACAGATCCATTTGACCTTTAACCTGTTAAGCAGGTTAAAATTATTTTTTTTTAATTCTCACTTTCCTTCTCACTCCTCTTCTTTCTCTCTCCTCTCTACACCACCACCAGTCCACCACCTTTGCCACCACTTACCTCCCCATCCCTCTTCTATGCCCACCATAACCACCACCCCAGCATCTCCCTCACCCAACCTCACCCATACCCAGTATCGAAACCACCAACCCCACCTAGGCTCGAAATTCACAAATCAAAGATTAATCAGGCAACCAAATCGAAGATTGAATCGAAAAACCCTCAAAATGAAGACGGTGAAGTGCGTGTTGGGATGGACGGCGGAGCTTAGACTACAATTTCAGGTGGTGCGATTTTGGGGGTTGAGTAGGGACTGATTGCCGCTTCAATTGGGTCAGTTATTGTTGGTGGTGGTGGGTGGTAGGCTAGACGGGCTAGGCGAATTGAGGCTGCGTTTTTTGTGGTTAGTTGTTGTGCGTGTGATGTAGTGGCACAGGGGATTTGCAGGGGCAACGGTGTTGGCCGGAAATTGGTGGAGCTGATGGTTGTTGGTTTTGTCGAGGGGGGGGAAGAGATGGGTTTGCTGGGTTCCTGTGCGAGACGGGTTTGCTTGGTTCCGATGCGTGGTGGCCGGAGGGCGGTGGGGAGGGTGGGGCTGGTTTTTGGTGGGTTTTATCGAATAGGGTGTTTGGTGTGGTGGTTAGGGTTTAGATTCGTAGGGGGTTTTGGTGGTTGGGGAGGTTGCGGCAAGGGGTGGGGGGTGGGGGGAGATCGTCGGAAGCCGACGACCCCGATGGTGGGGCTGGTTGGGGCTGGGGGGAAGTTGTCGGAGAGTGGGGGAGGTGGCTGGGGTGGTGCGGGGGCTGGGGAAGGTGGCTGGTGGTGGGGTTTTTTTTTCTGTGTTTTTTTCTTTTAATATTTTTTTAATAATTAAAAAAATAATTGACCAATTGATGACTGACACGTGTCACATAACTTACAAAAATCGGTCATCAACAGGTAATGGATCTGTAGGAGAAGGTGGGGTGCAAAGGTTGGATTTTTGTGAGATTAATTAAATGTTGGATTTTTTTTTGTCAGACCTCGCAAAGGTTGGATTTTTAGATTCCATTTTTCCATTCGAATTAAGTGTTTTTTTTTGGACGAAAAATATAATTAAGTTTATGAAATTTATTTTTACATGTAAGTTGTGACTTGTGACAAAAGTTGATTTGTGAATAACATAAGAAATTTAAAAATAGCAAGTATTAAGAGTTGAATGATATATAATGCTTCTCTGTATAACTATGTGGCCTATGATAAAATGTTGTAAATTTAGTACTCCGTATAAATAAAATAAAAGATTGTTTATTTATGTATTTAATTTTTCTCATCCACACCATATAATTTTTAAAGTCATAACAACTGTTTCATCCAATGACAAAAATAAAAAAATACTATGTACAACTCTTAACGTTAATTTTAAAATGGTAGTCATCTTATTACTACCTGAGTTAATATTTTTTTGAGGAAAATCTGAGTTTATTTTATTCAATTTAATAATTTAATTAATTTTGTTAAGTTGTCGCCTGAGTATTAGCCATTTTTAGATAGTAAATTTTCTTATTTTTTACTCGTTGATAGTTTAGGTCACGGTCATACAAGAAGATGTATCTAAGCTCTCAATGTAAATTACTTTTCAAAAAAACAAAAAAAAAAAAAATAAATAAAAATAAAATAACGCTTTTGTCTTTATTTCCTCGTAGTAATTAATTTATCAAATCCTTGAAATTATTACTTTTAAATCTGATTTTCTAGGTAGGTGGACCATTCTACTATGTTCCCTTAGGAAGAAAGGATGGCCTAAGCTTTGCTTCAAGAAACGATACCCTAGCCAATCTACCACCACCCTTTTTCAACACTACACAACTTATCACCTCCTTCGCCGCCAAACGGTTGAACACCACGGATCTCGTGGCCCTCTCGGGAGCCCACACGATCGGACTCGCCCATTGCAACTCCTTCACCAATAGACTCTACCCTACTCAAGACCCTACCATGGACCAAACATTTGCTAACAACCTTAAACTCATTTGCCCTACAAGTACCACTAATCGGACTACAAATTTGGACATTCGTTCTCCTAATGAATTCGATAACAAGTATTTTGTCAACCTTATGAACCGTCAAGGCTTATTCACGTCCGATCAAGATTTGTATACTGATTCTAGGACAAGGGGCATTGTGTCAAACGCGGGTCTGGGCCGCACCCGCAAACTAAGAGAGAAAGTCCACTTCACAAGTCCAAGGAGGTTCCATCTCAAAACCATATGGCTATAGGAGGAGTAGCCCCTTAACCTTATAAAGTGTTTAACTCTCTCTTCTTCAACCAATGTGGGACACTTACATGTGGTGACACTTGAGAGGTTTATTCTTCAACACTCCCCCTCACATGTAAGGTCCCTTTTAACTTTGTCTCATGTGATTTTTCGGGTTAGAGTGCTTCTTCACTCCCCCTCACACGGACCTACTCTTGGCCCAGTGAACTTTAGCCATTTAAGGTCCCATATCGTGGGCCTGACTCTGATACCATGTCAGTGGACCATCTCATAAATAATTTATCATGGTATCAAGAGCAAGTTAAATCTTGAGACCGTTCACACAAATACTCCCCTTGCCGGTGGGTTAGAATATTAAACCCACCGGTGGGATTCATAAATTTGCTTCCGCTATGCAATAGTATTGCTCTTTGAAATTTCTATTTTTTGATTTAATCTTTTTTTTTATGGAATATCCATGTGATACATGGGTTATTATTGATGTATGTGATCAATATGAATGATCATATGTGATTTGGTTAGGTTGCAGTGTTGGAGTGTGCTTCCTCCATTATTGCATCTCCATGAAGATGAAGAAAAGCCACGTTTTGGCGTATTGTTTATTATTTTTTTTTAAAAAAAAAAATTGCAAAAGATCACGGACACCAGCGAAGGGTCTGGGCCGCACCCGCAAACTAAGAGAGAGAGTCCACTTCACAAGTCCAAGGAGGTTCCATCCCAAAACCATATGGCTATAGGAGGAGTAGCCCCTTAGCCTTATAAAGTGTTTAACTCTCTCTTCTTCAACCAATGTGGGACACTTACATATGGTGACACTTGAGAGGTTTATTCTTCAACACATTGTCACGAGTTTTGCTACGAACCAAGACTTGTTCTATGAAAAATTCATTGATGCAATGGTGAAAATGGGCCAAATTAGTGTATTGACGGGGACAAAAGGCGAAATTCGTGCAAATTATTCTGCGAGGAATACTCGGATTAATATTGATCTCGAATCTATGGTGAAAGAGGATGAGGATCAAGAACAAGAACAATTGTCACAATTTTAAGGATTATGTACGTAAAACATCTTCTAAGTCGAGTTAGATTGTAACAATATTTAGTATGTTTGGACGTTTGGTCAGCTTGTTACGTAAAGTTTAAAGATCAATGACATGTCATACGTGTTATGTAATGGAGTAAATGGAATTTTGTCTTAAGGAATTCGATACTCTAAATAAAGGATTGAATCATGTTATACCAATCTTCACTTCTTTCAGTTCTTTTTTGCTTGTCTCGTTTGTCTTTTTGCACAATAATATAATGTGTTCTTTGTATATTTGTCACCAATACTTTCAACAACAGATGATGAAAAAAATATGTATATCATATGGTTGAAATTTTTAAACCGTAAATTGATATTAATTTAACAAAATTCTACATGAATAAGTTTTTTAAAAAATTATCATCGCAGATTTTTCATAGACAAAATTTCTCTCTTTTAATGAAAGATTTCAATTAGGATAATAAAAAAAAAAAAAAAAAGAATAAAGAGAGTAGTATACTAGGATCATTACTTGTGTATTAGCCTTGTTATATATTAAACTTAATAAGAATCATCAAGGCTTACTAATTTACTATTAACCAAATTACTAAAACTATTTGTCCATGAAACCAAGTATTACATGCATAATTTAAAAAATCACATATCTTATCGGCAACTTAGTCATCATATTGATTAAAATTCTATTAATACTGTCTTCATTTCATGCATAATGAACCATAATTTATCTTTTAATAATGGCATATTGGCATAGGTTCAATAATAATATATGTCCGGTGTATTTGTATTTTTTCAAGTTAATTAAACCATTGAATTTGGATATAAATTCATATGTCATTTTGTTTTATTATCCATAGGTTGTACTCCGTATAAAAGTAAAATTAATAATAATTACGGAAAAACAAAATCAAAAAATTGTTTCTTTTGGACAAAATAAAAGGCTGAAAATTGAACCAGGCTTTGAAAAGGCTTTAAAAAGTTAAGTTCAAACCATTAAGACTGATCTATTGGTCCACCTAAATGGACAATTCCTTTGCTTTGACGCAACTAGTATTGAATTATGATGTGGTCTACTCATTTGATTTTCCCATGTATAATTGTATTTATCTGAACTTGCTGAAATTTATTTAAATCTATTAGACCATATTAGAATTTATATTTTCGTATATGAATGAAATAAAATAACTATCTCAAAACTTATTATTTCCAAAACAAATGAAGACGCGATAAACACAATATGATGGCCTTACTAGTCTTGGAGATGTAACAACCTTTGGCATATTAATGACTTTTCTATAAAAGCTCAAGTTGGCATGAAGCTGCAACAATAATTATAAAAACTTATACTTCGTACTAGCTAAGGTATAATTATTTTCGTTAAATTATGCCCCAATGAGTATTATAAACAAGCTACTGTATGTGTTTTAGTCATTAAATATAGATTTGTTTAAACAAGGTCCTCAGTTGACAACGAAAACTAGTTCACACATTAGATAAATTACAATAAGCTCTAAGTATTAATTTCATAAGTTTGAATCAAGGATTAGAGTTAAAGATATAGTAATGCAAATTGTTCTTTTTTATTAGGTGATTATGTGATTTACTTGCTCCCGCTTAGATATTAGAAACCTTACTAGTAATACAATTGACACGTATGTGGTCACCACCATTTAATCTCAAATTTTAAATAATAATTTTTAAAAAAATTGTCAACTAAAATAAACAGCGGCGGAACCAGAATTTTCAAGTGAGGGGGGCCAAGATCATATCTATCAATCTATGTATGTGTAATTTTGCAAATCGCGACTATTATTGAGTTTGTTGATTACATTTACTATAAAAATATAAAATAAAAATAAAACTACAAAATGTTAGTTGCTAGGTTTGAACTCTTGACCTCTAGCCCACAATCACATGGCAAAAACCAACTCTTCTACACTACAACTTATAATCAGTATAAGCTAAATTTAATATTTATCTTGAGCCAAGGGGGATGCCATGGCCCACCCCAACCCTGGCTCCGCCCCTGAAAATAATGTTTAATTAGTTCACCAATTTTGATTTGAATTATTCAGATTTCTAATCTGATCTAATCTTATTGATTTTCCGAGCTGGTTAAATTTTGATATTATTAATTAAATTCAATTTGTGCTCTGGATTGGATTATTTGGATCTAATATTCTTTGAAATTTATATAATATACTTAAATATGTTGAATTGGATAGATCAAATCCTAAATAAAATGATATACTACATCTACGTCCGGTCCAAATTACTCGCAACTTTGGGATATTTTATATCTCACAAATAATACCCCAAATGAGTAATTTGTACCGGAGGTAGTACATATCCAAAAGACTTTAAGAGATTTGTTTTAAAAAAAATGATCTTAAGAGATAATATACAAAATTTGAAATCAAATTCCGTCTGCATTAGTGCTGTAGATACCTTGTTCTACAGTTAAATAAAAAATATATAGTTACAAACACTAATACTACGTATTAGTTATCAGTTAAGCTAAGCTTGATCAACTTAAAATATGTGCAAGAAATGTGGGTATAGTTAAAATGCATGTGCTTTCACCTGGCCATACGTGGTCATTGACCAAACTACGAGGAAGATAAAATTAACATCGGAAATCCTCTATATTCTAACGTATACTGACAAGCTCAAAGATTATTCAATCTCAACTAATCATTAAAATAACCCATCAAATGATCCACGATTTCACACCAAATTGGCATTACCTTATTATTTTTTCCTATAAATTGTCAAACATAATGCTACAAAATTCATAACCAAATTATTTCGTTGAAAAACATATCATAAAAACAATGGGCTCTTCTAAATTTATTTCACTTTCCTTAGTTTTGTTTTCTTTGGTTGTAGGAATATGTAAGGGTCAAAGCACAATACCAGTTGTGCCTGGACTTTCATACTCGTTTTATTCATCTAGTTGCCCGGATTTGGAGTTCATTGTTAGAACTCATCTTTGGGAAGTTTTTAACAATGATATTACACAAGCCGCGGGTTTGCTCCGTCTTCATTTCCATGATTGTTTTGTTCAGGTAATATATATCGTTAACTATTGTTTTCTTTACTTACCCGTTTGGCTAGATGTAAAAGCGAAATAAATGTAATAGATATGCACATGAGTAGTAGAGCGGGTATGAATTTAGATTTATACCCTCTTATGTTGTTTTGTATGTTAATATAAGAGAATTTTTTGCCTCTAATAACTTTAGTCATATATGAGGGAATAGCTGATATATACCAATTAAACTTTAATCTAATTTTTTATTTGCTGGTAACTTAGGTATCAATAAATCTATTGATATTATGGTACTGATATCATCTAAGCAAAATTTAATATCATCAAGTACTATTAGAGTTTTCATTGACTCAAACTATTAAATGCGAAGGATTTCTAGTTGAATATGTACCTACAAGCCTACTAGGCCATTACTATGAGTATTGTATAGTCGTGTATGTAGATTGTGTAGTACGAAGTATTATATATTTATATGTGCCTCAAATCCTCCAATTCATGCTCCCTTTTACCTAATATGAAGTATCTTACTTACCTATCTATCTTGGAATTTTGTGTTGCCATAACTCTCACGTGTTTAGATTCTCCTTGATCTTCTCCTATGTAGCAAAATTGATAATTTTAAGGAAGCCTAACTCACCATGATTATTCATATTGCCCGTCAAATTTATGTTTTAGGGATGTGATGGATCGGTATTGCTGGTTGGATCGGCCAGTGGTCCAGATGAGCAAGATGCACCTCCAAACTTGACATTGCGAGCTGAGGCATTTAAAATCATAGAAGATCTTCGTGCTCTTGTGCATAATGCTTGTGGCCCAATAGTCTCTTGTTCAGACATTGTAGCCCTTGCTGCTCGTGAATCTGTATTTTTGGTACGTTTATTTCTTGTTTTTGGTATGTTTAAAGATAAAATCTATACTAATATATTAAAAGGTGTAACTAAGAACGTCTATGTGCCACGTATACCACGCCACATCACTTTCTCCATCTTTCATTATGCCACATCATCACTACTTAATCAACTAGAATATTGCTTCATATAAAAAAACGATGATAAGGGGATTCGAACATCCAACCTTTTATAAAAAAAAAGATAATTACTTAACCATCTAAGCCAATCATAAACTATGATATAAACATGAAAATAAATGTATATAATTGATAATCACAAGATCTAATTAAAATAGCAACCGGTGCAACGCCCGAGCTACACACTAGTTAAAGTTTATTTAAACGGTTCATATATTTTAAACGCATATTGTCTAATTAATAATTTATGAATTAATTAATAATATATATATATATATATATATATATATATATTCCTTATCTTTAAGCTTTCTCCAAGTCAATTTTTTCATGTAACAATTTCTCATTATTTGTCATGTATATTTTTACAGCCAGATGGACCATTCTACGAAATTCCCTTAGGAAGAAGGGACAGTCTTAACTTTGCAACAACACCTGTAACACTAGCAAACCTACCACCACCTACATTCAACACCACAAGCCTCCTCAAGGCCTTCACAGACAAAAACTTGACTACAACCGATCTTGTGGCCCTCTCGGGTGGCCACACCATTGGTCGCGGTCATTGCACCTCCTTCGCCAACAGACTTTACCCTACTCCAGACCCTACCATGGACCAAACCTTCGTTAAAAACCTTAAGCTCACATGTCCAACCAACACTACTGATAACACCACGAATTTGGACATTCGTAGTCCTAACTTGTTTGACAACAAGTACTTTGTCGATCTCATGAACCGCCAAGGGTTGTTCACGTCCGATCAAGATTTGTACACTGATTCTAGGACAAGGAGCATTGTAACAAGTTTTGCTGTCAATCAAACCCTATTTTTCGAAAAATTCGTGGAAGGGATGATCAAAATGGGACAACTCGAAGTATTGACGGGTTCACAAGGGGAGATTCGCACGAATTGCTCCGTTAGAAATGTTGATAATATTGGCTTGGCGTCTGTGGTTAAGGAGCAACACAAACAAGGAATGTTGTCCCAATATTGAGGAATTATGCGTTTATTTTGAAGTGGAATAAATGAAGTTTGTGCTAATTGTATTGTGCATTTGTACGAGTGATGATACTTTGTACGTAACTTTTGTATGATTGAGATGGTATTTGATCCAACTTTCATGTATTCGAGTGTTACTACTTTTGTTTTCATTGGAAGAATGAAAGGTGTATTTGAATGTTTGAAAATATGCCCCACTTGGTTGGATTAATTAGCTGTTGCAAAACGAGTAAAACACTCTATAATGCTAAGGGGTTATCCCTTGTATTAGCATTATAGAGTAAAACACTCTATAATGCTAAGGGGTTATCCCTTATATAGTTATATTGGCATATGGTTTTTGGAGTATGGAACCTCCTTTGGAGTTTGGCCTTGTGAAGTAGATTGATTGTGGGTGCAGCTTATACCTCGGCATGTAATTGACAAATTTTAAATGTATAAGGTAAATATGTCATTTTGAAATTTCCCTAAAATTAATAAATTTGATATTTGAAATCACGCGTTAAAATGAATACTACCTCCGTTACATATTAGTTGCAACTTTCAGGTTGACACGGATTCTAAGACAAAATTTCATAATATTGGATTAATGAATTAAAGAAGGGGTAATTAAGCAAGGTAGGAGAGAGAAAGTGTATGTGATTAATAAATTACCCACCACCATCAACAACACTCACCCCACCATCGTCGGCCAGCAGTAGCCATGGCCACCACCGACGACCAACAGCAGACATCCCACAATTGTCGGCCAGCAACAACCATCCCACCACTGTTGGCCAGAAGCAACCACCACACCACTGTCGGCCAGCAACAGCCACCCCAAAACACCCACCTTACACCCCTTTTAACCCAAACCACTCTAAAACCACCCCTTTTCAACCCAAACCGCCCTGAAACCACCCAATCTCAACCTGAACCACCGTAAAACCACTCCCTCTCCACCTCAACAACCCCCAAATCACCCCTTCTTAGGTCAAACAACCCCGAAACCAATTCATGTTAGCTCAAACCACCTTATAACTACCCTTTCTCAACGCAAACCACCTCAAAACCGTACCCACTTACCGCAAACCACCCTAGAACAACCACCCTCACTCACTCCTAAAAACCACCAACATTCAACCTAAATCGCCTCAAAACTGACCCTGAACCACACCGAAACCACCCTCACTCACCCTAATCAACCTAGAAAATGCCTCGAGCCACCCCAAAATATCCTACCAACCCCACAAATCAGTAGATCTAAACAATTGTTTTTCAAAAAAAAAAGGAAGGGAGAGAAAACGGAACACCACAGGAGGAGTCGGAGCCGAGGAGGCGACGAGTTTGACAGTGGTGATGAGTATCGACGACGTTCGTTGAAGGTGGTGGTTAGATGTAGCGACGGCAACGGTAAAGGTGGTGCAGTGGTGGTCTAATTATTTTGTGGGAGATGAATGATTTTTTATGATTGTTGATTTAATTGGGTAACACTATTATGTTAAATAAGTTAGATTAAAAATTTAATGAAATCTGATTTAGGAAGCTAATTGTGTTTATGAAATCTTTAGTAAGGGTGTTTTTGTACTTTCATTGAAAAAAATTTACTATAAAGGGAAAAAATTGGAAAGTTGCAACTAATATGTATAAACCCTTTTTGGCAAAAGTTGCAACTAATATGTAACGAAGGTAGTATAACAAAACTTGATCACTTGATAATTTTTTTTATATAAATTAATTATGTACAAACACAGTTAAAAGTCAAGCACATCATACTTCCTTCGTTCTAAATTATATGACATAGTTAGACTTTATGCACTATTCACATAACGTGCATTGACTTCGTTTTGTGATTTTGTGTTGACAAAAAGTATATTCATGTGAGGTCTTATTCTCAACATCTATCTTTTAAATATCAAATTTAATTTTATGATTTTGCTAATAAAAATCAAGGATATTTGTAATAAAAATTATGCATTGACAAACATATATGACTAAATAAAACGTCACTTAAAGGATATGCATTGACAAATATATATAAATAAAATGAGTCAATTAATATGAAATGGAAAACGCTAAGTATTAAACAATAAACATATTGGACACTAGAGCTATAGCTGCCACGTCAGCTTGAGGTTGTTAGAGTTAGTTACAGGCTACTGCAAGTTGCCTAAAATCAGTTATAACTAATTCTGTTATTCCTGTATTTACTTCTAGATTTCTCTAGAATATTCTATGTTATAGCTGTAGTATAAAAACCCAAAGATGATGTAAAGTTATTCATTCACAAAAATACAGAATATTGTGATTGCTTTTTCTCCAAGTTTCTCTCTAAATTTTCTCTATAATTGTTCATACATTTTCTTCCAGAAATTGTTCTGTTGTATCAGAGCTATAAGATCTGACATGTGATTTTTCTTGATTGATTTCCGCATTGATTTGTGTTCATTGTTCTTGATTCTTGATCTGGTTACTGTTTGATTGATTTGTGCAAGTTCTTTGTTCTGATCTTCAAAGTTGTTCTGATTTTCCTGATAATCTCAGTTTATCCAGTGAATTTCTTTGGATCTGATTGTTTCTGCATCATCTGGTTTAATAAATTACTTGAACATCTGAAGTTATGACAACAAGCAATCTTCTTCCTAATCAGGATCCAACTAGCATCTATTACATTTATCCTTCGGATGCAGATGTTGTTCAACTTGTATCCTACAAGTTCAATGGTGAGGGATTCACTAGCTGGAAAATGTTCAATGCTGCTTACTCTTTCAGCAAAGTACAAGTTAGGGTTTGTCAATGGAGCTATCTCCAAGCCTACTGCTCGAACTGTTGAAGGTAAGGCTTGGGAGAGGTGCAATGATCTGGTATGTTCATTGATTTTGTTCAATTTGGATGAAACAATTGCAAAAAGTGTGATGTTCTTGAAATCTGTTGAAGAAATCTAGACTGATCTTGAGGAGAGATTTGGTTTTGCTTCCATGGCACAAATCTACTCACTAGAACATAAGCTTGTTGATATTAGTCAAGGTGATAAGTCTATTTCTGAGTTTTTCGTTGATATTAAGTCAATTTGGGATGCAATTGAGGAAGCTCATCCTCTACCTTACTGCACTTGCAACTTGACTAAGAAGATTTATCAGCCCCAACAAGAAAAAATGGTGTTACAGTTCATGATGAAGCTTAATGAACAGTATGCAATTATCAGAGGAAATATACTGATGATGCAGACTTTACCAAAGGTAACAGAAGCATTTCGATTATTTGCCCAAGAAGAAAGGCATAAAGAAATTTCTCAGGCTGCTGAACACAATGAGTCATTGGCTTTTGCTGCTGAAAAGAGGAAATTTAATTCTGATTTTGGTCGAAATAAGTCTTACAGACCTCATAATCAGGGTCAACAAAGAGTGTTTCACACTAATTCTTACTTAGGAAATGCTGGAGAAAATGGTTCTAATTCAGGAAATACTTACAGGAAATCAGGCTTTAAACCTGGTGCTAATTACTTCTGCACTCATTGTCAGATTCCAGGGCACAGTGTTGACAGATGCTTTGAGCTTAAAGGTTCTCCTCCTGGTTCAAAGGTTTCAAAGGAAATCGTGTTGCAACTGTTTCTGATTACTCTGGCAATGATGGTTCTAACTCAACTAGACCTATTTCAGTTGAGCAATATCAGCAGTTCATGGAGTATTTGGCTAAGCAAAATCAGAGTTCTCAGAACACTGAACCAGAACAATAGAATAGCCTGGCCATGATGGCACGTAACATTTTCTTACTATCTCAATATAATCATAAGTGGTTGCTAGATAGTGGTGCTTCATATCACTTTTGTTATGATTTGTCTCAGTTTTCTGAGTTTCATCTAGTATGAGGTGGTGATAATCATATTACCATACCAGATGGTAGTAAGATTGCTGTTAAACACATAGGGTCTGTTGTACTAAATGAATTGATAACTCTAAACAATGTGATGCATGTTACTGAGTTCTAGTATAATCTGATTTCTGTTCATAAATTGTGTAAGGACCTTAGTTGTGAACTGCATTTTACTCATGAAAAATGCTTTGTTTATTCTCAGAAAGGGACATTGATTCCTCTAGGTAGTGTGAAGTTTGGATTATGTAATGTGAGAGAACAGTTACAATCAAGTTCAAGAGAGTCACATGCTCATGTTTGCAATTCACGTTGCCTGTCTGCTGTTGATGATGCAGAACTTTGGCATTTGAGACTAGGTCATCTTCCTTTTAGTCAAATAAAATCCATTGTTCTAAATTGTAATGTGTCTATTTGTTTACAGAACACAATTTGTCAAGTCTGTCCCCTTGCAAAACAGACTAGATTAGCTTTTCATACTAGCAGTATTCAGACTAGTTCTGTCTTTGAGTTGTTGCACATTGATGTATGGGGTCCTCATTCTGTTAAGACTCCTACTGGCTGTAATCAGTTTCTAACTATAGTTGATGACTATAGTAGATTTACTTGGATTCATATGTTAAAGAATAAAAGTGATTCTGTTTTGGTAATGAAAATTTTTATGAAAATGGTGCATAATCAATTTGGTGTTACTGTGAAGTGTGTAAGGTCTGATAATGCTAGGGAACTTTGTGATGGTGATATGAAGAAGATGTTTCTTGAAAATGGGATTTTAAATCAGACTAGTTGCAGTGATACTCCACAGCAAAATGGAGTGGTTGAGAGGAAACACAAACATCTCTTAGAAACAGCTAGAAGTCTTTATATTCAATCTAGAGTCCCTGATAGATTTTAGGGTGAAAGTGTGTTATGTGCAGCTTACCTGATTAACAGAATGCCTCTCAAAGTGTTAAATCTAGAAACACCTTATTCTAGGTTATATAAGAGACAAGATGATCTATCTCATTTGAGAACATTTGGATGCCTATGTTATGTATCCACTTCTAAGGTTGGCGGAACCAAGTTAGCAAGACAGTAGAGCAAAACCCTGTGTTTTTATAGGGTATTCAAGTTCTCAGAAAGGCCATAAGGTTTTGAATTTGGATACTAACAAAATGTTTGTATCTAGGGATATTAAGTTTCATGAAAAACACTTTCCATTTCATCTATATAATAAAAAATAGTCACATTCCTCAAACTATTCAAATGCCATTTATCTTCCTGTTACCTTACCTGTTTCTACTCATTTTGATTTCTCTGATCTTTCCTATTTTCCTTCACATGATACTACTCCTCCTTCTCCTGATTCTCATTTTCAACTAGATTATTTTTCTTCTTTTTCTACTCCTTCTCCACCTTCTCATTCTCCTTCAATCTCCTCCACTCACAGTAATACACCCAATCATACTATTCCTCCAATTATACCTGTTCCTTTTTCCAATCCTGATGCTCTTATCGATTTGAGTATAGACTCCACTGAACAGCTTAGAAAGTCTTCTAGACCACATAAACCTCCAACCTACCTTGACAAATATCTTTGTTATCATGTAGATTCTTCTCATGTTCACACTAATTGTGAGAAACATTGGTGCAATTTTGTGTCTTACACTGGTTTCCCAACTGCTTTCAAGGCTTTTCTGTCTGCTTCTTGTGATATTAAGGAACCTCTGAGCTATAATAAGGCTTCTTTGGATCCACTTTGGGTAGAGGCTATGAACAAGGAGATTTTGGCCCTTGAATAGAGCAATACTTAGGAATTGGTTGACTTAGCAGCTGGGAAGAAAGCTATAGGTTGCAAATGGGTTTATCAGGTGAAATTGAAATATGATGGTACTCTTGAAAGATGTAAAGCACGAGTGGTAGCAAAAGGGTTCACTCAGAAATATGGGATTGATTATGAAGAAACTTTTAGCCTAGTTGTGAAAATGATTACTATAAGATGCTTGATTGTTGTTGCTGCAAGCAAAGGATGGCCCTTATTTCAATTGGATGTAAACAATGCTTTTTTACATGGAAATTTGAAAGAAGTGGTGTATATGAGAGTGCCTGAGGGTGTATCTAATCCAGAGAAGAAGGTGTGCAGACTTGTTAAGTCTATCTATGGTTTAAAGCAGGCTTCAAGGCAATGGCATGAGAAGCTGATGAGTGCTTTGGAATCCCAGGGGTTCAGGCAGTGTAAACATGATTACAGTTTGTTTATACACAAACATGATCAACATATTAACATAGCAACAATTTATGTTGATGATGTGATCCTTACAGGGACTAATGTTTCTAAATTGGAAGCTCTGAAGGTGCACAAAAAGTTCAGCATTAAGGATCTTGGCAAGTTAAGCTATTTTCTTGGCATTAAGGTGGGGTATACAGATGCTGGTATTATTCTTAGCCACAAGAAGTTCACAAAGGAACTTTTAAGTGACTGTGGTTTTGATGTTAGTAAGAAAGCAGTCACACCCTTGCCTTTAAATGTGAATTTTTCAGCATTAGATGGCCTGGTGTTCCTTACTCCAAAAAATACAGATCTTTAGTTGGAAAATTGAATTTTTTGACTAATACTAGGCCTAATCTGTCTTACTTAGTTCAGGCCCTAAGTCAATTTTTGCAATTACCTAGATCTACTCATGTTGAAGCTTTTGGTGCATACATTGAGGTATTTGGCTCATACAGAAGGTCAGGGCATCTTATTGAGGGCTTCAGATCAGTTATGCTTACAACCATTCTCTAACTCAGATTGGGGTGCTTGCCCTGATTCCAGGAGATCAGTTTCAGGTTATATTCTACTGTTGGGTGGATCTCCTATTTCATGAAAATCTAAGAAGCAAGGAACAACTTCTAAATCTTCAGCAGAATCTGAATACAGGGCTATGGCTGCTGCATCATTAGAAGTTCAATGGATTGTGTGGCTACTTGAGGACTTAGGAGTTACAAATCAGAAGCCTGTGACTTTGCATTGTGACAGTCAATCAGCTTTATATATAGCCAATAATCCTATGTTCCATGAAAGAACCAAGCATATTGAAATTGATTGTCATTTTACCGGAGATAAGGTGCTTGAAGGGTTACTACAGCTCACATACTTGCCTACACAACATCAGTTAGCAAATGTCTTCACCAAGTCCTTACCATCTGCTCAGTTACGACATTTATTGTCCAAGCTTGGACTGTCTGAGGCTCATCCAGCTCCCAGCTTGAGGGGGGATATTGGACACTAGAGCTATAGCTGCCACGTCAGCTTGAGGTCGTTAGAGTTAGTTACAGGCTACTGCAAGTTGCCTAAAATCAGTTATAAGTAATTCTGTTATTCCTGTATTTACTTCTAGATTTCTCTAGAATATTTTGTGTTAAAGCTATAGTATAAAAACCCAAAGATGATGTAAAGTTATTCATTCACAAAAATCAGAAAATTCTGATTGCTTTTTCTCCAAGTTTCTCTCTAAATTTTCTCTGTAATTGTTCATACATTTTCTTCCAGAAATTGTTCTGTTCTTCCAGATTTTGTGTTTGTGTAAATAATAAACATGACCAGACTTTAGAAAATTTAAACATAATACTTATTTTATGCGAAGAGAACAAAGCCACCCAAATTGAGGAAGGGTCACATTCCTGTCATGATCAATTGATCATATGCTTACATTAATCTAATTAAAGTTGAATTATATGTTTAATCAAGGGACCACATGACATATATCATATATATATATTTTTAAAATTAAATTTTATAAAAGGAAATTTTGTGAAAAACTACCTATTATAGTCTAGAATTTGCGAGAAACTACCTATTAAAAAAAATGTTGTAATTGACTACCTAATTTTCGAAAAATGTTGTAATTTACTACCTTACTCCGGATTATGAAGGAGTTTGACCAAAGCTCTTCGGTGTTGACTTGGTCACGTGACCATCACGTGACACTTAATGACCATTTTCTTTCACCAAGTGTCACGTGACCAAATCAATGCTGGAGAATTTTGGTCAAACTTCTTCATAATCCAGCGTAAAGGTAGTAAATTACAACATTTTAAAAATATTAGGTAGTTAATTACAACATTTTTTTAAATAGGTAGTTTCTCGCAAATTCTGGATTATAATAGGTAGTTTTTCACAAAATTTCCTTTATAAAATATCCAGTGCAAGAATTTAATAATTTTGATGCATATTCAATGGGAGAGGACCACAACGAATCATAAGACAATATACAAAAGCTACCTTTTCTTTTGTCTAGGAAAGAATTTTAGTTGGATTAATGTAGTACCTTGTTTGCTCTCAAAAAAAAATGTAGTAACTTGTTAATCATATCCCTCGGATTTTCGGACAAACTTTATCTTAGTACATTGCATGTTAATTATTTGCTACTTGCTACCTAACTTTATCTTAATACATGTTGAATGTTGATTATTTGCTACTTGCTAGCTATTCTTTTGGTCAATAATAAATAAAGGAACATAATTCAACTTGGGTTATAAAAAGAAAAAACATTTCAAAAAGCATGTGCCCACCATACGCACCATTGTACCGTCGTCTCTGACCCCGATCTAGAAGTACTTTAGTAGTAGGGGATGCTTTTAACAAGCCGCCGGTGACATAAGCTCCCTTTTCGTATTTCTCTTTTTGATTGGATTTACTTGCCCTATTATCGTTTATTTACAATATAATACTGATAGATTAACATTTAGTATTAAAATTTAAGAATTGATCGATTTGTAAAGTAATAAGTAAGTTATGTTTGGGGATATTTGCGGAATTTATTAAAAGAATATATTGATTGATATGAGAAATTTGTGTTATACCAATTATCACGTACTTACAACGTCTGCACGTATGTAAAAACTATACGATCTTTACTCTTTTTATTATGTTAACTAGCTTTTAACAAGAGTTAAGCTGGGAATATTCTTATTAGTATAAGGTTTTTTGTGTATGTTTTAAATATATTAAAATTTAAATTACACTCTCACCCCCAACCTTCCTCACTTAAGATTTTCTTATGTATTAATTTACCTCCCAATATCATTACTCATCAGGCAGAAAAATCCTTTTTTTTTTTTTTTTTTTTTTTTTTTTTTTTTTTTTACAACGAGAATAATCTTTTTTAGGGTTGAAAAGAAGCAGATACATTATATGTAATCATGACATACATTTTCATTTTTTTCACCTAACCCGTCACTAAGCATAACAATTGCATTAAAATACTATTAATCGAATATATAAATCCATCACCTTTTTAATTTCATACAGGAAAAAAAAAAAAAAAGAACTATCCACTTTAATTTTGATTATATATTGGCCTTAGAAGTTGGCAATATATTCTACCAAGTGATAAAAAATAACAACTATCATAAACATTATTCAAAGAAATAATGGCTTCTCACTTAACCTTATTGGCCATAGTTGTATTTTCATCCTTGGTTGTAGGAAGTTTAAGTAGTAGTGTACCAGTTGCGCCTGGGCTATCACTCTCGTTTTACTCTTCCAATTGCCCGAAACTCGAATCCATTGTTAGAAATCATCTTAAGCAAGTTTTCAAGAAGGATATCACTCAAGCTGCTGGTTTGCTTCGCCTTCATTTTCATGACTGCTTTGTTCAGGTATCATCTTACAACATTTTATTACATAGATATTGTTCGTGCATGTAGAATATATGATATTGTAGTTAATTTTTAATCATCGGTATCATGTCATTCATGTGCGGTTGTGTTTTTCATTCGGGTGTTTAATTAAGCTGGGTTCGAGCTTGGGTTGGATCAGCTTAGATGAACTAAGACAAACTTATAGAAAAGATTAAAATTTGAGCATATCATTAGACACTAGGGTTTTTGTATCACTCTTCAAGAGGATAAGAATTGTTATGCATTAATTTCAAATTATTAGTGTATTTAATTAACTATAAATGTACCTTTTTAATGGTTGATATATTTTTATGGAACACAAATTAGGGATGCGATGGATCTGTATTGTTGGATGGGTCAGCAAGTGGTCCAAGTGAACAAAACGCACCACCAAATTTGTCACTAAGGAAAGAAGCATTTAATATTATAAATGACCTTCGTGCCCTTGTCCAAAAAGCATGTGGCCAGGTTGTTTCTTGCGCAGATCTCACTGCCCTTGCAGCTCGTGATTCCGTTGTTCTGGTATAAACCTTATTCCATAAAATCTATTTACATTCTTTGTGTACAGATTTTAATTAATCAATGCCTTGACAAATGTTTCATTTGGTTTTTGTAGTCAGGTGGACCAAACTATAATATCCCATTTGGAAGAAGGGATAGCCTAAACTTTGCCACAAAAAATGTAACACTAGCCAATTTACCTAGTCCTTCTAGCAACACCACAACCATTCTCAACTCCCTCTCATCCAAAAGGTTTGATCCCACTGATGTCGTCGCCCTCTCCGGGGCACACACCATTGGTCGCAGCCATTGCTCCTCTTTCTCCAGTAGACTCTACCCGAAACAAGATGGGACTATGGATCCATCTTTTGCAAAGAACCTTAAAGTCACTTGTCCAACGTCAAACACCGATAATACCACAAATTTAGACATTCGTACTCCTAATGTATTTGACAATAAATACTACATCGACCTTGTTAATAGGCAAGGCTTGTTTACTTCCGATCAAGATTTGTTCATGGATTCAAGAACCAAAGGGATTGTCAATAGTTTTGCAAACAATCAAAGTTTGTTTTACGAAAAGTTCGTAAATGCGATGTTAAAAATGGGACAACTTGGTGTGTTGACGGGTAAACAAGGGGAGATTCGTGCAAATTGCTCCGCAAGGAATACTAAAAGTGTGGACTTGTGGTCTGTGGTTGAAGAGGGTGAACAAGGAAGATTATCACAATTTTAAGATATTTTTTTAATTACTAAGTTCTAAAATGGAATTGTGAGAAATTGCTTGTGCTAGTTATAAGTTTTGTATTTAGTCTCGGCTATAAGGCATCATGTCATGTTTGTAATGTTTGTTTAATACTCCGAACTCTATGATTATCAATATGGTGTGTTTAGCTTAGCAATTAACATTTGGAGTTATTGTGTTTGAGAATTGATTTGTAGGAAACTTAATGATTGTTAGTTGAGACGAACAATACAAGAGGGGGGTGAATTGTATGTGAGTTCCTAGTGCCTACTTTTGCGGAATTATAAAACAATGCATATAGGAACTTGCAAAAACACACAAATTTTACGAGGAAACCTTCCAGGGCCCAACTGGAAGTAAAACCTTGACCCTATCTTATGGATTTCAACCACAAAACAACTTCACTATAATAGGGCAAACACCAAGTTACAACCTACTATAATCAGACCTTTACTCACAAGTTCGAAAACGAACTTGCTACACGGTAGGACCCTATCCTACCCAATCTAAGTCCCACACCTAGATTTACTCGTACTCCCAAAGTACTAACTCACTCAGCTTCACACTAGAATCTTACACACTCTGTATGCAAATATAAAACACACAAACACCCAAATAACCCAACCAATACAAAGCATATGACACCTAGTATATGTTAGGCAAGTAATGCACGAAACCCGAAACTAATATGACAAGGTTAGAAGCTTGGCAAACTTACACAATTAAAGCTCTGTGATTTCTCCACGCATAAACTCACAAAAACCTAATGAAATGAGATCTCTACTATTCATACAAGTATAACTCGTATAGCAAGTAGGTTTTCTAAAAAATAAAGATGTTAACTTACCTTATCTAAAAAACACGGTATATGTAAATCAAATTTGAGAAAATCTTTTTCGAAAATAAGATAGAAACAAAGATATTAAATAGAATAAAATCTTTTTAACAAACTAATTTTAAGAAACAGATTTGAATAAAATCTTTTCATAAAATCTATCTTTTTATCTTTTCCAATTTTATCTTATTTGCCTAGCAACTTGTCACGCTTCTAATAGATTTTGTGCATACTATACTTAACATATTTAACAACAAATCTAAAAGATAAAATCTTAACTAAATGAGTTGTTGTGCCGATCTTTGCATAGTCAGAATACTTGGGCTTCACGTAGGCTAAGTTTCTTAAGAAACTTACTCTCTTCAATCGCAGTCGAGGCTGACACCTTAGCTTGCTGTTTTCAGGTTCTTGTTATGGAACATTCCTGTTAAGGAACTTAGTTCTTGTTAGAGAACTCTTCTTCTTCTCTGTTTTACTTTTATTTTAAAGGCTTCTTCATGTCTTCATAGCTTGAGTTACTTTTCCATCACCAAGATCTATTTCACCTGTACTAATCAAACACTCATATGCCTTTATTAGTTGAGTTTGCTTTAGTTTAAATTTATCATCATCAAAACCTTTAAGCTTCAACAATGATTAATGTAAACTATGGTCCCTATAGACCGGAATGTATTGCTAGAAAAGTATAAATATAAAAAATATATGCTAGTGTTTTGGTCCTAAAACAATCACTTAAGAAGGATTGATTTTTTTTAATTTAATTAGTTATGGATTGTTACTTATACAGTTATAGGCCTAGGGGTCGAGTACCCCTTATCATGTCGTGATCTGGCATAAAAATACACTCTTCACTTTATTTTATATTTTGTCATAGTCTTGGTTCTTGCATACTTTTCTAGGACTTATGGTTCTTATCTCTTTGTTGATGATTGATTATGTTGGAATATGACTCGAGAGTCAATAGAGAATGGGCATGTAAGCTAATCAATTGAATGAGTCAATTTCAATTGTACTAAGCATATTTCTTAAACTACTTTAAACTTTGAGATGACTCGAGTTGAAGATGATGAAATCTTGTTTCAAGAGCTTTCAAACAATACATACTTTATAAGCTTAATTCCGATAAGAAATGAGAAAGTTATAATTGTTTTCCTATGAGTTGTATGTGTTGATCCAAACTAGATAACACGTCCATGCCGCTGGAGTTCATGGTCGATGATCAATAGCTATTGGAATGATTAATCGACGTTGTCATGTCCATGCTAACATAATACTCATTCTAACCTGATATGTCAAGGGCACATAAATACCCATTTGGGCTTATTTTATTATTATTTATCCACAAATTGAGAGAAACACATGGAGAGGTGTAGAGCTCTTGTTTTTGTAACTCTTATTTTTTAGAGTGAAATTTAGCGAGAGATTACTCTAGTAAACACTAATTGAAATCAATACAACTTGAAAAGCTATGGGTGATCATTTAGCTTAAGCCTTTACGCCGTTAAGCCATTAGAAGACTTCATGTACATTTCTCAGCTCTTGCTTTCTCTATTATATAGTGAAGAAATACCTTTTGATGATTTTCCCACTAATGGAGTACGGATTAGGGGTCTAATCGACAAAACCTTGACAATTCTTGTGTACTATTGTTCCACACAAATCAAATACAATTCCGTCTAATACTTACTAGTTCCTTCATTAAATTTGGGATTCTAATTTTAGGAGTTGAGGGTAGACAGGGTTATCTCGTGTCCATTTATTGTAGGGTTTGTAATTGCTGAATTAAACTACATGCCCATGAAAAATACAACTGCTAATAAATGATGTATCCAAGTTTTTCGAGTTTGTAAACAGCTTAGTTGATGTTTGGAAACTATATATTTTTTTGGTGAAGTGAAAACTATATATTTGAACGAACTTGTTATTGTAAACCAAAAAGAACGTGCCTCATGGGTGCGAGAACAAAACCCTCCAATGCAATCTGCTTTCAAGGCCACTAGTTTTTCTAAATCCAGCTTTTCTTTTAGAATCCTCGAGTGGGCTGCCGGCAATCTGAGCAGGCCGCTTTCCTTCTTGGTCGCTGGCAAGTCCATTCCTGCAGAGCCGGCACCACCTGATTGCGAGGAGGCCTTCATTCTCGCAAGATGTAACTCGTGTAGACCTAGGTTAACACCGAACTATCTTTTACGCCGCCTAAGGAAGTGCATTTCTGGCGTCGGTGACCCAATTGACAGCCAATCCGCCGCTTTTTACTCCTATCATCGTTTTTGGGACCTTTCGGTCCTTTTGGGGGGGGGGGGGGGGGGAGGTGGTTGTTGTACTTGATAAGCTCCCCTTATCGTGTCAGCTTCTGTTTTGGTGGTAGGATCTCGCCCACCGCCTGTCTGCGTTTGTAGTCTAGGCTCTAGGTTTGCTGCCGGATGTCTTTCCCTTAGTTTTCTAGTTTTCTAATTTGCTTATCTACTTTGCTGCCAGTTTCTTTCGTGAAGTCTTTCATTAATTTCCTTTCCCTTTTCAAAAATCCTAGTATAGACTGCCGCAAATTACTTAGTGCCTTTATGCACACCCATTTGAACGATAATTTTAACGAAAGCATTGTCAACTTTGCAAAAAATAATTGCCCCTGTAACATTCTTAATCAAGAAAAAGACTTGAAGAAGGTAGGTAATACTTACTTCAAGAAAGGTGAATTTGTTCTTTCTAAGGCTAAGTATGACAAAGGCCTAAAACTTCTATGATTTTGTCAACCGAGAATTAAAATGAAGATGATTATGTCTTCCTACGGAACCTTGTCATATCATAATTCTTGAGTGAAACCTTGCAGCTTGTGCTCTGAATGAAAGTCCATAATTTTGAACAAACTAAGCAACTCTACTCATTAGTCATTGTGTTTGATGGTAACAATACTAAAGCCCTATTCATAAGGGCTTTAGCCTAAATCAAGCTATATCAACTCAAAGAGGCCCATGAAGATCATGGCAAAGTAGCTAAGTGTAGACACCCATTTGTGTCTCCCCAAAACCAAACCCAGTGATGAGTACCTTTCACGTCGAATCATAATCGAATGAAGCGAAAGTGTGGAAAGTCTAGTGTTGCGGAAAGTTTTATTTTCTTTTCTCTTCTCTCTGTTTTTGAAAACTTATTTTAAGAAAATAGGCAATCCAGTTTGGTTGGTCCTTGATATGGGTCCAATAGTAGTGTAGTTGGATGGGGCTTGCAAAGACCTTTCCAACGATATATTATAAGCCCAATTTCGATGAATATTGAGGAAGTTATGGCCAATTTACTAAACCGGGCCCGGTTTGAACTTTATATACGGCCCAATGATCTAGGGGAGAGCTTCATATGATTTATCATTCCTAATGCAATTAGGAATGGTTTTAGTCTTCTAGATTCTTCTAGAAGGTTCTTTTCATTCCTAATTTAATTAGCATTGATAAATTGACTTTTGTTGACTTTTCAGAGTTTTAATCAAAATCAAATAGCATTTTCGAGGAAATTATATGATTTTATCCTCCAGTACGGCAAACTTATCTGATTTTCGAAAACGCGTTAAAATCAGGCTTGGCGCCAAACCCAGGCCTTGGCACCTAGAACCAGGCCCGGCGCCAGGCGCTAGTGTTGGTACGGTGCTTGGCGCCAGTTAGCCAAGGGTGGCGCCAACTCTGTTTTCTGTGCTTCAGACTCTGTTTTGTTTATTTTATCTTTTTGACTGATTTTCTTTATAAATATCGTATTAAAAACTCCGTTTTCATTCACCAATTCTCCTCATTCACAAGTTTTCATCTACAATCATTAATTCTTTAGCATTCTTTAATTCATTCATCTTCTTTCTCTTTTTCAAACCTTGCTTTTACATACAAAATTCCGCAATTATTAGATCTAGAAACACCTAGCCATATTCGAAGTTGCCTTCGCCCTAGACGTGAAAGGTTTAATTTCTGAGGGTTTGGTCCCAAATCTCTCTTTCAATTATTTAATTTAATTGTTTGTTTATTATTTTCCTTGAAGTTACTAACGTGTGTATTTTGTTATTAGAAAGAGGTACGAGGCATCAAAGTAAATGCTTTAATGGTTTTAATTGATGTTATGATGTAGACATCATGTTTAGATTGTTATTATGATATTCCTAGTATCATGTCTAGGGTAATTTTAATATTAAATATGATTGTTACGATGCTTCCTATGTTCTTCCTAATATTTATTCATGATAGTATCATGTTAGGGCTAAAGATTTGATTTTCTTAGTGACATGCTAGGGTTTGTTATTAATCTTGTTAGTATCATGCCTAAGATCTTGCTATTTTTATTATGCTTTAACATGAACATGATAATGATTATAATTGTT